AGATGTCAACTATTCGAGATACGGAAATGATTGTATTGGCCTTATCATTATCACTGTTGTGATATTCTATCGTTGATGTACATCATTCGATTGTTGAGAACAATTTGTTCCTCCATTGTTCGCATTTAAACATGCACACATGTATATCGCTCTATATACATCCGGACGACATGTAAACTTCCTACAATTGAAAGAACATATCTCCCACTGTGAGAATCTAATTTTTTTCTCTTCGAGCAATATGTCTCGAAAGCTAAAAAGAAGAAAATTAGAGAGGGAGAGAGAGGCCAAGAATGGGTGAGCAGCATTTCTAATTGAAGTGACAGTTGACGTAAGTGTATTGCAACTTGAAATTCATCATGGATTCTGCGCATTCTTTTGCCTTTTGTTCTTGCTAGTTAACTGAAGAAAAGTGACCGTACGACATACGATTACAAGAAAATTACAGAGACCCTATCCTCGCGAGACACAAAGGCACAAAATTAATGAGATGGAATGCATGTGTATGTCGTTTCTCTCCCTCTCTTTTTTTGTTTCATCTTAGCATAGCTCAACACCATTATCATCATCATCCATATTTCATCTAGTTTTCATAACGATATGTGAACTTGTTTCTAACTATATGGATATATACATTTCTTTTCTTCTTTCACGTATCAAATGCCGATCATATGGTACACCTGCTAATGACCTTTCGAAAGAATCTGATTTGATTGTGCAAGAGATGTGTATATTAGCCTCGAAAAGATCAGAGATCAGTTGGTGGCGGGATACCATTTATAATGATCGATGGGTGCAGACAACCGGGGTGTCACCTATCTATCCTTTTGTGTTTCGGAATAATCACAACGATGGTGATGATGATGTAAAACATAGCGACGACATATGCAGTGTTTTGTACACACGTCTTATTTTCTCTTTTTTTTTTCTTGAGATAGATAGCAACAGAGAGAGAGAGAGGGAGAGGAAAGGAAAGAGCAAGAGCGAGAAGAGAAAGGGAGAAAAGCCAATTGCATTTGATTCTCTTTCTCTCGCTCGCTGAACGTGCAAGCGACGAAGAGAAAAGAAGAAATGTGTTCACTTTGAAATCAAATATCACTCAACAAGCTGCTGTATTTTCTTTTTACATACTTCAACACTTCTCGAAAAGAATGTTGCTACTAGTCGAGTAAATCTAATCAGTAATAAAGGTGAGATAAAAAACGAGTTTCAACACATTCGATACTTGATGCTGGAGTGAACGTTAAGCCAGATGGTCCTTTTGACTTTTCCTATTTTTCTTAATGATCCATCGATCATTCAACAGCTGTTTGAAATTCTTTTAGATTTAAAACATTAAACCGAAGAAGAAAATGTATATTCAATTGTTGTTAATGACTCTTATCCCAATTCATTATTGTCAAATAGATTTTCAAACGATTTGTCAAGCCGGTATTCGACAAGATAATACAAAGTAAGATTAATTTCAATTCTTTCCATTGTTGAGTTTCTTGTTTTTGTTCAGTTATATCCATTGTGGCCGAAAACAATTGACCGACATCCCAAATTTTTCTCGCACGACAAATACTGTGTACGATGAATTGGTTCTGAATGACAATCAAATATCGTCGATATCACGAAATGCTTTTCAAGGTTTACGCGTCAAGCGTCTCAATCTGTCCGGAAATAAAATACGGTTCATCGATCCACGTGCATTCGTCGAGTTGGCGAATTATTTAGAAGAAATAGTTATTGAATTCGATTCGACTACCGTCCGTGATATTCCACAAGCGATTAAATTCAACTTGATCAATCTTCGTTCGTTGAAGTTAATCAATCTGAATTTAACTATCCTTCCGAACCATACTTTTACGAAGTATCGCAAACTTGAAGACTTATCGATTATTAAATCGAACATTGACAAGATTGAGTCGGATGCATTTCATTCGTTGAATAATCTTCGCTCATTGCATCTTGATCACAATCAACTCAATGATCAAATTTGGTTTGATCTAACGAAATATCTTCAGAATTTGGAAATCTTAACTCTAAGTCAAAATAACTTTCATCATTTGAAACACACCTTCCTTTCCAAACAGCTAAGAATCCTTGATTTGTCATCGAATGGTATACAGATCATCGAAAAGACATTCTTCGAAAGTTTACTCTCACTGGAAAAGTTATCCTTGCAAAATAATGAGATCAATTCGTTACAATTGACATTTTTACCATTATTAATCCATTTGAAAGAGTTAAACTTGGATTTCAATCGACTAACGTTCCTCCCGGAAAATTTGTTCCAATCGAATCGTCAACTTTCGTATTTGTCTTTTCAAGGCAACGATTTAAATTATCTGACAAACAAATCTTTTTATGGATTGAAAAATTTAACATATTTAAATTTGGCACGAAATCGTTTGCAGTTTCAATCGACTCAACAGCCATTCCAAGATCTGAATGCATTGGAAATACTAAATCTCGATCGAAACAATCAATTAAATCTTTCGAAAAGTATCTTTCAAGGTTTATATCAATCATTAATTGAATTATCATTACAAAATTGTAATCTGACACGAATCAACCTCGAAACGAATCCTTTTGCACGGTTTCATTCGCTTCAACGATTGAAACTATCCTCGAATAACTTCAAGGACTTACCCGAAAAGTTTCTTTTCAACCTAAAACATTCGTTGATTTCATTAGACTTACAACGAAACCATTTGAATTCGATACCGAACCTGTTCGGTAAAGATTTCAATTCATCAAAACTCACCGACATCGACCTCAGTTCGAATCAAATCTGTACATTAGACAAAGACGATTTATATCAATACAAAAACTTGAAAACTATCGGTTTAACTGGAAATCCATTGCATTGTGACTGCCAGTTGAAATGGCTGAAACAATGGTTGATAAAAAACTATGATTATGACCTTATCAAATTTCTTCAATGGACATGTTTAACACCAATGAAGCTAACAGGAAAACAATTAACTATCATCGATGAACAAGATATGGTTTGCCGTGAAAATCAATACTCGAAATGTCAAAATAGAAAGTAAGTTTTGTTTACAGGCGTATTTGCAGTAATCTGTTCTAAGATGGCGGAGTAACAGAATGCGGAAATAACATATAATTCAACCTTTTGATTAATCTGTCTATCCTCCATGAATATTCTCGTAATAGAATGAAAAAAATTTCCGGCTTCTCTACCTCTAATCATATAATCTAAACTTTGTCATTTGCCTTGCGTGCTTGATTTCATTCCCTTTTGGGACGATCTACAAGGTTATTTCTATTATGTAGATCAACAACTATACAATCATCAACATCCATTAAAACGACAACAATATTACCAGCACTAACATTATCATCCTCGTCATCTTCCTCATTCGATGAATTAATCATCAATGATATATCCTATAATCCAAATGGTATGCTAACACTAACATGGGACTACATGTCATTAACATTACCACGTTATATTCATCTGCAAATTTATGATGAAAATACACGTCGTGTGATTTTACAGCGATTAATCGATGGGGAGCAACGTTCAATTGAACTCGATATTAAAGATTACTTAAATGAACATTCGGCGATCTATATGATTTGTTTAAATATTCGACATAATAAATACTGTCGAAACGTACAATTAGAACAAATTAAGTCGCCAACATCATCATTGATTGTTTCATCCAATGTTTCCGATAATCAACAACAACCAACACAATTGGTTTTTCTTCTTAGTGGAGCTTTTCTCGGCGCTATATTCGTCTGTTTAGTATTGATTATTTTTTGTTGTTGGCGCATACGTCGTCTCTCATCTCGGAAGGCAATTTCAAATTCAATCGAAAAATTACCACCCAACACATTCTACCATCCGCCAGCACATTCGTCGATATTCTATCGCCCATTAAATATCATTAGCTATCCTCAAGCCCAAAAGCAGCAGCAACAACAACAACAACAAAGTTGTGACACAAGTGAATGTTCAATTCATTCATCAACTGATACAAGCCAAATAGCAAGTGATTCCTATCATATCTATCAACAAATCCCGTCTGTATATAATTGTCAAATACATCCATCGAGAACACATATTCTAATATGAAGAAGAGTTAATTTATATCTATTTTTTGNAGAAAGTAGCTGTAAGGCATAATGGTTGCTTATCAAGTCATTCGATCATTAGTTTCAATGCGTCACATCACATTCAAGTAGACAAGACTTAACGAGATGGAGATGTCAACTATTCGAGATACGGAAATGATTGTATTGGCCTTATCATTATCACTGTTGTGATATTCTATCGTTGATGTACATCATTCGATTGTTGAGAACAATTTGTTCCTCCATTGTTCACATTTAAACATGCACACATGTATATCGCTCTATATACATCCGGACGACATGTAAACTTCCTACAATTGAAAGAACATATCTCCCACTGTGAGAATCTAATTTTTTTTTCTCTTCGAGCAATATGTCTCGAAAGCTAAAAAGAAGAAAATTAGAGAGGGAGAGAGAGAGGCCAAGAATGGGTGAGCAGCATTTCTAATTGAAGTGACAGTTGACGTAAGTGTATTGCAACTTGAAATTCATCATGTATTCTGCGCATTCTTTTGCCTTTTGTTCTTGCCAGTTAACTGAAGAAAAGTGACCGTACGACATACGATTACAAGAAAATTACAGAGACCCTATCCTCACGAGACACAAAGGCACAAAATTAATGAGATGGAATGCATGTGTGCGTCGTTTCTCTCTTTTTTTTTTGTTTCATCTTAGCATAGCTCAACACCATTATCATCATCATCCATATTTCATCTAGTTTTCATAACGATATGTGAGCTTGTTTCTAACTATATGGATATATACATTTCTTTTCTTCTTTTACGTATCAAATGCCGATCATATGGTACACCTGCTAATGACCTTTCGAAAGAATCTGATTTGATTGTGTAAGATATGTGTATATTAGCCTCGAAAAGATCAGAGATCAGTTGGTGGCGGGATACCATTTATAATGATCGATGGGTGCAGACAACCGGGGTGTCACCTATCTATTCTTTTGTGTTTCGGAATAATCACAACGATGGTGATGATGATGTAAAACATGGCGACGATATATACAATGTTTTGTACATACATCTTATTTTCTCTTTTTTTTCTTGAGATAGATAGCAATAGAGACAGAGAGAGAGAGAGGAAAAGAAAGAGCAAGAGCGAAAAGAGAAAGGGAGAAAAGCCAATTGCATTTGATTCTCTTTCTCTCGCTCGCTGAACGTGCAAACGACGAAGAGAACAGAAGAAGAAGCGTGTTCACTTTGAAATCAAATATCACTCAACAAGCTGCTGTATTTTCTTTCTACATACTTCAACACTTCTCGAAAAGAATGTTGCTACTAGTCGAGTAAATCTAATCAGTAATAAAGGTGAGATAAAAAACGAGTTTCAACACATTCGATACTTGATGCTGGTGAACGTTAAGCCAGATGGTCCTTTTGACTTTTGTATTTTTCTTAATGATCCATCGATCATTCAACAGCTGTTTGAAATTCTTTTAGATTTAAAACATTAAACCGAAGAAGAAAATGTATATTCAATTGTTGTTAATGACTCTTATCCCGATTCATTATTGTCAAATAGATTTTCAAACGATTTGTCAAGCCGGTATTCGACAAGATAATACAAAGTAAGATTAATTTCAATTCTTTCCATTGTTGAGTTTCTTGTTTTTGTTCAGTTATATCCATTGTGGCCGAAAACAATTGACCGACATCCCAAATTTTTCTCGCACGACAAATACTGTGTACGATGAATTGGTTCTGAATGACAATCAAATATCGTCGATATCACGAAATGCTTTTCAAGGTTTACGCGTCAAGCGTCTCAATCTGTCCGGAAATAAAATACGATTCATCGATCCACGTGCGTTCGTCGAGCTGGCGAATTATCTAGAAGAAATAGTTATTGAATTCGATTCCAATACCGTTCGTGAAATTCCACAAGCGATTAAATCCAACTTGATCAATCTTCGTTCGTTGAAGTTAATCAATCTGAATTTAACCATCCTTCCGAACCATACTTTTACCAAGTATCGCAAACTTGAAGACTTATCGATTATTAAATCGAACATTGACAAGATTGAGTCGGATGCATTTCATTCATTGAATAATCTTCGCTCATTGCATCTTGATCACAATCAACTCAATGATCAAATTTGGTTTGATTTAACGAAATATCTTCAAAATTTGGAAATTTTAACTCTAAGTCAAAATAACTTTCATTATTTGAAACACACCTTCCTTTCCAAACAACTGAGAATTCTCGATTTGTCATCGAATGGTATACAAATCATCGAAAAGCCGTTCTTCGAAAGTTTACTCTCGTTGGAAAAGTTATCCTTGCAAAATAATGAGATCAATTCGTTACAATTGACATTTTTACCATTATTAATCCATTTGAAAGAGTTAAACTTGGATTTCAATCGTCTAACGTTCCTCCCGGAAAATTTGTTCCAATCGAATCGTCAACTTTCGTATTTGTCTTTACAAGGCAACGATTTAAATTATCTGACAAACAAATCGTTTTATGGATTGAAAAATTTAACATATTTAAACTTGGCACGAAATCGTTTGCAGTTTCAATCGACTCAACAGCCATTTCAAGATCTGAATACATTAGAAATACTAAATCTCGATAGAAATAATCAATTAAACCTTTCGAAAAGCATCTTTCATGGTTTATATCAATCATTAATTGAATTATCATTGCAAAACTGTAATCTGACACAAATCAACCTCGAAACGAATCCTTTTGCGCGGTTTCGTTCGCTTCAACGATTGAAACTATCCTCGAATAACTTCAAGGACTTACCCGAAAAGTTTCTTTTCAATCTAAAACATTCGCTCATCTCATTAGACTTACAACGAAACCATTTGAATTCGATCCCGAATCTGTTCGGTAAAGATTTCAATTCATCTAAACTCACCGACATCGACCTCAGTTCGAATCAAATCTGTACATTAGACAAAGACGATTTATATCAATATAAAAACTTGAAAACCATCGGTCTAACTGGAAATCCATTGCATTGTGACTGTCAGTTGAAATGGTTGAAACAATGGTTGATAAAAAATTATGATTATGACCTTATCAAGTTTCTTCAATGGACATGTTTAACACCAATGAAACTAACAGGAAAACAATTGACTATCATCGATGAACAAGATATGGTTTGCCGTGAAAATCAATACTCGAAATGTCAAAATAGAAAGTAAGTTTTGTTTACAGGCGTATTTGCAGTAATCTGTTCTAAGATGGCGGAGTAACGGAATGAGGAAATAACATATAATTCAACCTTTTTGATTAATCTGTCTATCCTCCATGAATACTCTCGTAATAGAATGAAAAAAATTTCCGGCTTCTCTACGTCTAATCATATAATCTAAACTTTGTCATTTGCCTTGCGTGCTTGATTTCATTCCCTTTTGGGACGATCTACAAGGTTACTTCTATTATGTAGATCAACAACTATACAATCATCAACATCCATTAAAACGACAACAATATTACCAGCACTAACATTATCATCCTCGTCATCTTCTTCATTCGATGAATTAATCATCAATGATATATCCTATAATCCAAATGGTATGCTAACACTAACATGGGACTATATGTCATTAACATTACCGCGTTATATTCATCTGCAAATTTATGATGAAAATACACGTCGTGTGATTTTACAGCGATTAATCGATGGAGAACAACGTTCAATTGAACTCGATATTAAAGATTATTTAAATGAACGTTCGTCGATCTATATGATTTGTTTAAATATTCGGCATAATAAATATTGTCGAAACGTACAATTAGAACAAATTAAGTCGCCAACATCATCATTGATTGTTTCATCCAATGTTTCCGATAATCAACAACAACCGACACAATTGATTTTTCTTCTTAGTGGAGCTTTCCTCGGCGCTATATTCGTCTGTTTAGTATTGATTATTTTTTGTTGTTGGCGCATACGTCGTCTCTCATCTCGAAAGGAAATTTCAAATTCAATCGAAAAATTACCACCCAACACATTCTACCATCCGCCAGCACATTCATCGATATTCTATCGTCCATTAAATATCATTAGCTATCCTCAAGCCCAAAAGCAACAACAACAACAACAACAAAGTTGTGACACAAGTGAATGCTCAATCCATTCATCAACTGATACAAGTCAAATAGCAAGTGATTCCTATCATATCTATCAACAAATCCCGTCTGTATATAATTGTCAAATACATCCATCGAGAACACATATTCTAATATGAAGAAGAGTTAATTTATATCTATTTTTTGCTTGGGTGCAATAATCCTTCGTTTTCATTTTGCTTTGTTGAACAAGTCACTATCTATGTGTATGTATGTATGTGTGTGAGTGAGTTTTTATAGAAAGAATAATAAAAGAATTCTTTGTCAGGAGAAATTACAAACGGAAATCCTTTGATGCATGCATCAATGTTTTAATACACTTTTTACAAGGTTGAATTTTAATGTTCTTAACAAAAGAATGCGTCGATGAGTCGAATTTCATACAAAAGGAACTATCTTCTCTCTTTTCACCACGTGTAATTATGTCAGATTTCTTTCTGAAAAGAATATTTAACGTTGACAATAGAAGACGCCTATTAACAACAGCATTAAATACTAAATTGACCTTTGTTTGACTATACATACATATATCAACGTATAGACATGGAGTGGAATGAGGCTTGAGGGCGATTTCTCGTTGTCTAAAATTAACGATTTCCGTGCGCGCGTGTGCATACATGTGCGTGTTTGTCAATGTCTTGTTTTTGCTATTTCCTTTTTTGTTCGATCTCCTCCTTTTTCTCGTTCAATATATATATATATATATACACGCCTCGATCACAATTAGAAGCACATCTGTTGAATAAACAGGCGACGAGTAAAAGACTTTCGAAGAATTTATATAAACATGCAAACGATTGAGAAGCTCAAGGCTATTTGAACATTTTCTCACTATAGGTTCATCACAAACACAAATAGAGTGTACACGACCATGTACTCAAGTAAAATTATGTTTTGAAATAGTTGACATCATGTCTCTGTCATTGATCAAATTGAGTTTTTGTCTATTTGGGCAAAAAAAAATCGAAATTGTTGTAAATGACCTCTGGTTTATTTCATTTTGATCGATACAACTTTCGCTCACCAATTGTTTGACAACAAACATGAATGAAAAAGAGATTAGAATGTAAGAACTAAGCTTTTTCTACACATCAATGTATATATGATCAAACGGGTACTTTGTCGTCGTTGTCGTCTCGGCGTCTATCATACAGGTGTGAACAACTCATTAGTACATACGTCTACTGCTGTTCATTGATGTGACAACAGGCTATTTTTCTATTGAAA